CAACCATCAAAATAATCTGCTGCAGGAAACAGTGATTGCGCGTCTGCCATCCATGATATTTTATAATTGACCAATTAGATGTGTTGATAAACAAATGAACTATTTTGGGTGTTGTTTGGAAGAAATATTGTATCTGGATAGATCAAAATTATTTGTTGGTATGTGCTTATACTTGCTTTGACATTTATTTTACACTTGGTTGAAGTAAGCTTTGAAATTTTGATCCGTTTGAATTGCAAGAAAACTATTTTGTGCAGAAGTAGTCTTCGTTATGGACAATCTAATTTAAAACTTAAAGAACCCTGTAAAACATAAGTCAAGAAATTAAGATTTTCAGTGGATTTGTGACAGTATAAAATGATGTTATTTGATAGAAATACGTACAGACCTACCGATGTCTCATATTGTACTGGATGGTAAGAAATATATTTTTTTCTTATTTACTGAATTTTGGACTTCAGCACTCCAGTTGAGTGGTTCTTAGTTTCTTGGCACAAAAGAAACACTGCATTGTCAACCATTTTAAAGTTTAAATATTTTGCTGCAGTTATAAATGGGAAGATTTAAGAGGAGCCTGTATACCAGCTGGTTGGTCCAAGGATACAATTTGGGTTCTCAAAGGATCTGATGCTGATGCTTGGTCAATCCTGATGGCTAATCTTTGGTCAAACTTAAAAAGGATTGTAAAGAGGTTTTCTAAACTTTTTATGTGTATCGGGGACACTGAAAGCATCAATTTGCACCATTCAATATTTCATTCCGACGTCTGTGGTTCTTGCAATTCCACTAAAACTAACATGTATTACGTCATTAGAGGGATAGACGTCTGAATACAAATTGGAATGGTGCAAATTGATGTCCCCTATTGAAAATATAAAACAAATCTGAAATTATATGTAAAAAAATTTGACTTAAAATGTTAGCCTACCAAGGTCAAGGCTGCAGGGTTATCAGCCTTTCACAATGAAGAAAATTACCTCCATTGAACTGACTCTTCACCCAGTTAATCAACATGCAAATATTTATTAAGGGGAGATAAATCTTGGTATTTTGATTCAGATGGATTATAGTATTAAGGGGTAACCTTCTTCTCACGCTTTCCCCCAAAATAGGCCTACAGTTGCTATGGTTACTGGATAATGGCTCTTTTGTATCTCGATGATTTTGAAATAATTGCTATGGGCAAGAATAAAGATGATTTCTGTGTTTCACCTATCTGATTGGTCAGTCTGTAAAATGAATGGAAATTTGATGTTATTATCCAATCAGATTACAATATTTCCTAAAATCGGTTTTTTTTTATTACTGAAGTTTTAAAGATCCTTGCTTTAAAACTGGAAAGAAATCTACGATTTTGGTCAATGTGGACTGAACTAATTTAGCTGTATGAAAATCCTTATTTTATATCAAAATATCATATTTATCTCTTTAACAAACAAACCTTAAATATTAACAGTGAAAAATGCAGGATGTTCAAACAAGATTTTAAAAATTTGACAGTGGAATGTAAAATGAAGGAAGAGAACCCTCATAAATAAAGTTTATCATAATCATTATTGACAATCCCTTTACAGTCCAATCAATTAAGGAATTTAGAAGGGTTTTAGATGACATATCTTTTAAACGGCCTCATAAATCACTGGGTTTAATTATAGCTAGAGTTTTCTCCCTTGAGGGTTCAGATATCTGGCTTGAGGTTAAGTTTCTAAAGGGTTGATAAGGTTTAAAGATAAACTTTTTGTCGGTTTAAAGATAGATGAGATGAAATGTATAGGTGGTGAAAATTTAATCTGGGCTGGCTCTCGGAAGCACTGGCACAGGCATCAGAATTTTTCATACTAATCCAACTTGCTACTGACTTAGCTATTCGACTGACACAAAAGGCGAGATAAAACGGTTAACAGTAGGCTGGATGTTCAAAGAATGTTCGACTTATAGATCTAAGGAATTATGTTCCTTGAAAGATTAAAGATTGACGAATAAAAACCTGGTGGAGTGAGATCAGATTACTGATATAGATTATCACTAATCTTGTTAAATCATTATTTACCCCATGTTCAGAATACCTCACATAGTTTCACATACTCTAATAATTATACTCAACATATCAACATATCTTACATTGAAATTGATTGGATATATCAATATAGTCCACCTTCTGAAATGGTTTAAATATTAGCTAAAATTACCTGTATTGGGCAAATTTATTGAAAGAGATTGTAAAGAGGTTTTCTAAATTCGTATGCATATCAGAAACACTGATAGCATCAATTTTCACCATACCAATTTCTATTCAGATGTTTGTGGTTCCTGCAATTCACAAATTGCAAAATATGCTCTTATCACTCATAATTAGTGCTGTCATAAAACGCATAGTTTTAGTGGTATTGCAGGAACCACAGATGTCTGATTCAAAATTTGAATGGTTCAAATTGATGCTATCAGTGTCCCTGATACACATAAAAAATTTAAAAAAAACCTCTTTACAATCTCTTTTAGGATAACAATTGGTATGAGTTTTAATAATATATCACTAGGGGTGGAGAGGGAACAGTGTGCCATGTAATATAAGAGATGGATTAAAAACGAGAGTTGAAGGGACAGATGAATAGAGTTTTTTGCTTCAATGTCCAGTTATTGAAGATTATGAGTTACTCTAACTAAATTCATGATATTTAAAAGGTTTCTCTTTCTTGTCTGCTACAGCTCATAACCTGGATCATTGCAAAGCTTCAAGAACACGGCTTACTTAGTTACTAATGAAAAAACAACAAACTATAAGTTTAGAATTTCTGATACAAGTTGAAATTGTGAAGAGAAACAGAAGACATGAGACTGTTTTCCCTTCTGTCATCTTAGCCATTTCTCAGCCACCCTGTTCAACTCAAACCCAGGGGTCCACTTTCACACCCCAATCAAACATGACAAATTTTATATCTGGTTTCCCACCTTGATAATGATTTCGGTTAATGAGAGGCAGGTTGACCTTTCACCTGTGACCTTGTAAGGTCAGATCAGTCAGATGAGCAGGACATGTAAATTTTGAAACTTTATAACCATTAGTTGGTGTCTGGTATCTGTATTTGGTGTCCTCCATCTTGGATTTATTACCCATGACAGGTAGGAAACTTAATAGTTTGATTTCAGAGTCTGCATCATAACTGTATTTAAAAAATCCTGATGCTCTGGCCAGTGCTTTGGGCAACTGACATCAATTGATTTGCACCATTCAAATTTTGAGTCAGATGAATGTGGCTCTTACACTTCAACCTTCAAAACACTTTGTTTTGGAATTAGAGAAACCACAGACGTCTGATTGAAATTTTGAATGGTGCAAAATGATGTTATTATTCTCCCCTAAACACATAAAAAATTTAGAAAACATCTTTACAATCCCTTTAACTTTCTTGTGCGAAGTTGTATTGATGAAACAATAATGTGCGACATATTAAAGTCTCTAGTTCAACTGGAAATCAGAAAAGAGGATGTTCATGATGCTGTCCTGGCAAAATTTCTCTCTTTAGAAATTACATGGTGTTGCCTGTCTTCATTAGCTTAATCAGGTGAAGAAAGTAGGATATTAAACTCCATTTTATTTCATTTTGACTAGTTAGTGACATTTAAAATCTAATGTCATGTCAAAATAACTTGAAAGCCTTCAATAAGATAATCATCAATGTTGTATTGAAGAAAGTTAAACAATTTTTATACCATTGTGATACTTACTCACCAAACAAACATTTTCAACTTTCACTTTATAATTTTACTCTAGTCACGTTCTAGCAAGATATTCACGATATTTTTCTGATATTGTTTTAGATTTTATTTCTAAATTGTCACTTGTCTGATAAATGAATATCGATAAAAAAAACTTTGAGTTGTAATAGTGGAAACTTTAGGAGTATTGATAAGGGATTGTGGGTATTTAGCGAGTAAAATCAAGGACAGAGCTCTGAGACATGATTGATTGTTTTCTAGTGAACTTTATTATTTTCTATTTTCTGAAATTTTTTAATTTTGAAAATAGCTTCCTGTCTTCATTAGCCCATAAGATGCAGAAAAGTAGGTTGTAAAACTTCATTCATTTCATTTTAACAGTTTATTTCATTTTTTGTTAGTATCTAAGGGTTAAGCTTTCTTAAAAATTCCAGAGGTTCATCTGAATTTCCTTTCTTATAAGTTTGGTTCCTGATTTTGCGGGTATCTGTGATAATGATGTCATATTGTGGTCGTGTTTTGTACAGGAATTCAGAATGTTACAAAAACTTTGTTTTCCCGATAGTCATACAAAGACCTGAACCTTAGTCTCTTTTGAAATGGTGTCTTTTTTAGCGTCTGTGTATTGATTTTGCTTTTGGTCTTGAATTTCTGTCATTTTTATTGCAAAGATTATAGTTCTGCTTTGCTAATCTGAAGTAATATTCCACTTTTCCCAAGCTCCACTTCATAAATTTCAGCTATTTTCTCAAGACCTTTGATCTGAGCTTTGTGTCAAAAATAAAATTACCCGGCAGAAAAAATTGAGGAATTTTAATTGGGGTTGAATTTTTAAACTGTCTAATTTAAGTGCAAGGAAAAGATTGGTGGATTAAATTTGTTGTGACAGGGGCAGTCAGCCTGGGGGGAGAAAACAGAAAACTCAGGGTCTTTATCATATCATGCATAAATAACTTTCAAATTACAGAATTGAAATTGTTTATACATTTACAATCTATGTTTATGGTGTATTGTTTGAATTTTACTATTGTCAGTTTATATTATTCTTGTTTTTCTGCTTGAAGAAATAAATAAAGCTGAAAAGGGAAAATTTGTAAATTGTCGTGGTTCAGGTGATCTGATGATCCCATGCATATAATTAGTGCAGTGAGTTTAAATCTTTGTGAAAACTTTCTGAAGATGTTTAATGTTTCTTTGTGATATGAAATTTGATGTTTTATTTCGTGGATGATGATCACAGTCAATACAGTTTGGATATACTTGTACTGATAAGTATCTCAGGTATGGATCAGAGAGAGGGGGGGGGCTGTATGTTCTGTCTTACAAGGTAATTTTAAGCTCTTACACCATGCCTCAGTTTTGCATATAGCCTACTAGTATATTAAGCTTGAGGTCTGGGAAAGGGAGGTTTCTTAATTGACAGTATGTCCTCCAAGCTGACTTAAGGCTCTTATACCTATACTAGAGTATTCAAAATGATTCAAACAAAAAGCGATAACAACTTTGAAAAATCAAACTAAAGAGTGCTATCTGCAGAATTTGCAAGGACCCCTGCCATAGTTATCAAAGCAGTAGAGACTAAACTAATATTGTTTTGGACTTAGAAGAGGTTCCAGAATAGGTTTTGTACATGGCATAAGGTTAAGAACTTAAGGTTTTAGACTAGGATTGGTCAAGAGCTTTAAATGAATATGATTTATATGAATATTTGTTTCTGGTGGAAGTCACATCTCTTTCCTCCATACAGGAAATGTCTGATTTCAGTTTCCCTGACCTTAAACTACGAATTTGACCTTTCGGTTAATTTGACCTCTACGAATAATACTTTAATGATACTTTAAATGAAGTGATCAACATAAACCAAGGGCAGGTAATTACCAATTCTGACAGTTACAAGCGTGAAAGTATGGAAGTAATAATTACATCAGGTGTTTTATTGTTATTGTTACTAGGGGGCCATTTTGTGGTTAGTTGACCTTAACGGTGACATTTGACCTCAGAGGTCGGAGGTAAGGGTCAATTTTGAGGCAGGTGTGTTCAGGAAATGTTGCTGATATCTAATGGAGGTTGTCAAGAAGCCTTGATTTATTATTGAGGATTTGAATCTGTTTCGATTCGAACTAATTTTGCGTTTTTTTTGTGGACTTATGAGTGAAATGGAAAATGGCAGAACAATGTAGGAAGAAAGGTAAGCTTGTGCCAAGGATTTCCGGACAATTTCCTTTTGAATTTCCCTAGTAAATTCCCTGGGAATTTTTTTGTGAATTCCATGCAATTTCCTTGTGATTCCCTGAAAGAAGAGTTAATGTACCCACCAATGTTACTCCAACCAGGTGTAAAAGATGTGAAACGTTTTAACGAGTAACAGTTTTTTAGGAAGGTAGAAAGATAATACAAGGCAGACAATCCTTGAGGGAAACTTGAAGGGAGATTGCTTGACAATCTAGATACTTATTCTGTATAAGTTCTAGGTCATTAAGACATTCAGCCAATCAGATGCTCAGCTCAGTAAGAATATTTGTGTTAGGAATTCTAGAATATTTCTTTTAGAGTATAGCGTTTAAGAGTCCATATAATCTTGGAGATAATTTTCCAAGGACTTTTGCCAACTTCATCATTTCAAATGCAATATTTTGGGGGTCAATGGTCTGACGTCTTTTAAGGCTTAACATGTTCACAGGGTCAGTTTTAGACCAATCAGCAATTTGAAATAGTTTGAGGCTATATACCTATATTATTTGTTTGTTTTTAATTTGATGATGTTGATATTGTGTATGTAATCCACTAATAAAATAAACATACAGCCAGATTACTTACTGTAAACAAACAAACCACAATCAATGTATTGTTGTATCTAGATGACTAATCTTATTATCTCTCAATAGATAAATCTCTACCACTGATAATATAATTATCTCAATCCATTATCAAACATTTCTCAAATATTTCAACAATTTCGAGATAGGCTCATTGTTCAAATAATTTTCTTGTTGACAATCAATCTGATTAATATGCAAATCTGGATGTTTTATTTTGTGTTTTTTCTGCAAGTTACTGCAAATGCCATACATGATCTATGGAGATATTTTTTAAATGTTGTTAAATGGAGGAGAATTTTTACCCAATCAAAAACATTGTTAAAAGGTTTGATAATACATGTCAAAAGTTTTTACAAAGAACATCCCATAATTCCTTACAACCCTTGCTACCCTTACAACATCCTTTACAATAAACGAACCAAGTACTAACGATTCAAACCACAAAACAAAACAAATCATTATAAAATTAAAATTAAAGTTTTTGTTTTGTAATTTCAGGAGTAGTAATACACCAGATAGATTAAATTCCCGCACAGCCTCGTATCGGAAACGTGTAGAAGATGCTCGAAGCCGTGATATAAAACCAGACGTACAGGATGATAGCGTTGTTTACGACCAATCAAAAAGCAGCCAGGGTCTGAGAATGAGGCCTAGAACGCGACGAGGCGAAAGTTTTAAGTAAGTTTAATTTTTATTTCAATTTGATGTTTTTCCATTGTCATATTTATCTCTCTGTTAATTTTTTTGTAGACGATGATGATCAAATTTTTCCATGAGAGTTTGGGATTCCTTCAATATTTTAATTAACTCATGAGAATTGTTGCCTTAGATTAATATATTTGATCCTAAATTTAGATATGTTTAGTGTATTCTGCTTTGTGAAAGAAATATCAGTTCAGTGGCAGTGCCAGCCTGTCTCCTGGCGGTACAAATAGAGCACCGTCTGACTTAATGGGGTGACAACTGTCGAGGCAGCTCTGTGGAAGTATCATAAGCTCCAGCCTCCCATGGGGTTTCTAAGTGAGTTGTCCTTCCAGAAATTTTAAAACTGAATTGATTTGGGGCAAAAACGTAAACAAGCATAGTTTTAAATTTGTTAGAAAAGAAGCAGGGGTACAAATCATACAATCCCCTCTCTTCTTACCCCCACTAGCACCGGCACTGATGGATGACAAAGTAATTAAACCCACTAGAAATCCTCGGTGTCAAGAGAGAAATATACAGGCTGTTGGAGATCGAAAAAGAGCAGGCTAATGTCCTGGCAAAATTTCCCTCATTGTACCCTGCTCGTCTTCATTAGCCCACATGGTGCAGAAAAGTAGGACGTAAAACTCCATTCATTTCATTTTCAAGAAAGAGATAGGGTTACCTATCCTACAGTAATCATTGACCAATGGTGATCAATATTTACATATTACTGGTCAAATATCAGTATTTATAAATATAATATATGGTCAGACAAAATATGACCTACTTTATTTTGTTAATGTCGGTCATTTTTTGGTTTGTTTTAAAGCTGCACAAATAATTATTATTAATACAGTACAATTTATTAGAATGGTCAGTCTTTTCAAAATATGACCTACTTGTCTTGATTAGTATCGAACATTTTTTGTTGGTTTGTTTGAAAGCTGGACAATTGATATTAATACAGTACAATTTATCAGAATGGTCAGTCTGTTCAAAATATAACCTACTTTATTTCGTTAGCATTTGTCATTTTTTGTTGTTTGTTTGAAAGCTGGACAATTAATATAAATACAGTAAAATTATTGGAACGGCCAGTCTTTTCAAAATATGACCCACTTCGGTCGGTCATTTTGTGTTGGCTTGAATAGGAGTAAGAAATAGGTGTCCATAATTAATTCTGATCACAAAACATTTTGTCATTGTAAAGGTGTCAGTTTTGTATGAAAAGTGTAAATGTATTCTATTATAGAATGATAAATATTGAAGTTTAGTCAATGAAAGGGTACGAGTGGGTCAGTGTGTGATTTGTCGGTTTGTAATTCAAGTTGACCGGAATGTGGACAATCATGTATTTTGTTAAAGTGATTGTAAAGAGGTCTTATAAATTTTGTATGTGTATCTGGGACACTGATAGCATCAATTCGCACCATTCCAATTTTCAATCTGACGTCTGTGGTTCCTGCAATTCCACTAAAACCTAGTAATTTATGATGTCTCTAATCAATTAGTGAAGTCATCAAACACTAAGTCCAAATTTCCAATGGCTGCAAAAATGTTAGTTTGACAAATTCAGGGTATTTGGTGACCAGTAATAAACCAAACATGTTTGTGGCCTCGTTCACTGGTTCGATGATTTTTATGAGAAGTTAATCTTAGTTTTATTTCTCTACAACAATGATTTGTTTATTTCTTGTGGTTTACGGCCATTTTAATTACCCTGGAATTTGAACAATCACATTTCTCACAACTGCTACCAAAATATTTCATAGAAATGTTGAGTCTTACAAATGTAAAAACATAATTAAAGGATTGTTGTTTTGTATTTGCCCCTCACGCCTGACTTTAGATTGTAATGATTTGGGTGTGTTTATGTTTCAAGCCACAATGATGAATGGAGTTGTCTCCCTTGTGTTGAGTGCAGCACATTGTCTGCTATAAAACTGTCAAGTTAATTCAGGTGATTGATAAATATAATTAAACAACAGCCCTGGTCACCTTCAGGTAACAAACTATTTAGCCTTAGGTTAGACATGACTGGTATATATTTCAAAACAACAGCCCTGGTCACCTTAGACTTGACTGGTAAATATATCAAAACAACAGCCCTGGTGACCACTGTCCCTACCTGTAACCTAGTATTTAGCCTCTGGTGTAGTTTTATTGATATATTGAATGTATTATGATTATAATTTCCATGTATTTAGCCAGTAGATATAAATTCATCCATTATCTACTGGCTTCTTTAAACATCAAATAGATTTATCCAACCTTGATCAGTTAGTCAGGTCACTTGGTGCTATGGGTTTGAGTCTCCAAAATTATTAATGATTTATTATGTAGCTTAAAATATGAAAGTTGTCAAATTGGTTTACCTATACTTGAAACTATTTTCACGTGACTTTCCTGCACTGACCAGTAAAAACATTAACATTGGAACAATTCCATCTCCAGACAAATTTACTCACTGTTTCGTGTCCACAGTTTCTTGTTGACCTTATTTCAAGGTTGTTGAAGAGTTCGCTCCATGTTTAGTTTAAGTATTTAAGAGTATTAGTGTTCTAACAGTTTATTTTGGCTCGTGATCATTCTCAAGTTGTTTTCTCTACTTTCAGTTTTTTTTCTAGAATATATTCTTATATTGTGTTGTTGTTCTATTTGTGTAAATATTTATTCATGTATATATGTGAACGTTCACTCATTTGTTTGTTTGCTCAATTGTGTGAACATGCATTCATTCATACCAACATGCATTCATTCATTCATTCATTCATTTGTATATTCACTTGTACATGCATTCATTCATTCATTTGTATATTCACTTGAACATGCATTTATTCATTTTTACAATCATTCATTCATATGCACCAACATTTGTGCATTTATTCATTCAGTCAGTCAGTCAGTCAGTCAGTCATTTAGTCAGTCAGTCATTCAGTTAGTCATTTAGTCAGTAAGTCATTCATTCAGTCAGTCAGTCAGTCTTGATATGTAAATTATTCAGCCCTGTATAAATGTCTAATATAATGGGAGTAGAGTATTTTATTTGACAGTTTTAATGTGTAACGAAGTGTAAACTTGGTAGTCATTCTGTAAAAACATTTCATTTTAAATCTGTACTCATAAACTTTTAGAATCTAAAACCTATGATGCAGCAAGACAAAATTTCCCTCATTGCCCGTCCTCATTAGCTCAAACAGGTGCAGAAAAGTAGGACGTAAAACTCACATTTCATTTCATTTTGAGAGGAGCGCAAACTTTTTTTAAATGGCCGTTCAAGATTAATATTTCTCTGATTAAGAATATTCATTAGATTGGTTTACAAGAAAGTTGAAACCACCCTGTAAAAATGTTAGTTATTCTGATCAGAAGAATTGTTGACAGCCATTAGGTTAAAAATGTTAAAGATGTGACAGGAGTTGACGATGTAACAATTTAAACACAGGATTGGTTGCCACATTATTTCAAATGTCACCTCCATGTTCTTTTTACATCCCTAGCTATTTCTGTCGTTAATTCTTATCTTTTAGTGCATTGAGACGACTTCAAAAACTTTTCTTGGCAAGTTTAAATGAATCTTCACCTTACTGTGATTTTGAAAATTTATCGTAGGTGTTTAAAACTCTCACTTCCAAATAAAGGTGTCTGTTTTAAGTTCATCTAAACTTTAAGAAAATGTGTGTGATACTATTTTTAGTATAGCCCACTTCTCAAAATCTACTAATGTTACTAGACTTGAAGTTGACTTTTGTCAAGTGAATTGATGGGTTCATCTGTCCCCTGTGCCCACCCACAAATAAGGGCATGCTCTTAAATTATAGATATCATCCCCTCCCTCGTGATTTAAACATGTAAATTAGTGTCAAGGGTCAAGCATGTTTTTAACCTGTTAAAATTGGAGGCGTTTTGACTCTTTTTTTTTACGAAAACCCGATATGACACATCATCTATTCACAAACTTTACATTTAAAGGTACAGCTGCGCCATTTTTGGGAATAGATGTAAATAGTCTTCAAAAGTACTAGAAATGTACGAAGACTGCATAATTCAAACTAGGAATTTCTTTTCCTAATTCTATATATCTTTTCTATATATATATATTGGCAGCGTCTCAAGAATAGACTACTTGTCTTTTTAACTTTCAAACACAGATAATTCTGGACATACATGGTTCGACAGTGAGCTGTGAACACTATTTATGATTAGCTTACCTAAAAAATTCCTGTTTCTGAGATTAACGTATGATTGGTCAAATAAATGGCGCACCTGTCCCTTTAAGTTTTTAAACTAGACTTGAAATATTTCAAATATTTGAAAGAAATGACAATTTACATCTATTTTAAGACTTGTTTTGAATTCTTTAAGTTTGTTTTGTGACATGAACTGGTGGTATGTCGAATTGAAAACAAACTGAAATTCTATACACCTGATATACCTATTGATAGAATAGATTACTCTATGATTGATTAATTTTGAATAATTTCAACTGCATGGATCAGTCCACTTGATTTGACGGCAGAAGATGAGGGCGGAGTAAGACGACTATTAGAAACTTGTAAAAGCTTTAATCTGTTATGGTAGATTTGGTTTTTAAGATTAAATCAGTGTGGTCTGAAGGTTAACATTCTTAGTCCCTGGGTGTTGACAGTGAAGCAGGACAAGCTCATTTCATACCACTCTTCTATTGGGTTTGTCAACTAGGCATCCTTTTCAGAGAGTTTAAATAACAAATATCATTAATTTGGTATATTTATGCTGCTGCTTTAAAAAAAAAAAAAATTGATGCTGTTCTTTTCGGAAAAAATAGATTCTTGTTTGAATTGTCCTAAGGTATTATTTTCAAGCCACAGTCAGACATGACTGGCATCTAGACATCATTTAACATTGATAAAAATCAACCCTCTTGGTATCCTAACATGAAAGTAATTTAATAAAATTTTATAAACTTGACAAAAAGAATGTTTTTATGTCATGAATGTGGAAAATACAAA